GAAAATAAACTAGATATACTGCAAGAGAAAGGGCAATCTTCTAATCAATTTTCCAACATCCGAGAAATCGATATTCTATTCCCGATATGTACATTCGCTGACTTAATATCTTTTGAAGAGCAATTAAATGAAGGAAAATTTCAAGATGATGTGGTACGATATATACAAAGTATCTGTAAATTCATATTTACTATTTACATGTCACAATGCGTTATAAAATTGAATTTATAAGGTCTATGCTATTATTTTTCGCTGTGTAATAAAGTAATAATTGTTAATTACAATTCTATTAGTCAGCTTCGTTTTTTAGACAAATGCATGTTTGAGCCACGTATCTGATAGTGTACAAAAGATGTAGCACAAAGTGCTCACTATTAGGCTAAGAGATATTTATGAGCTTGTCTTAATCATGATACATGATGGTGAGATTTAATTTTCATCAACAATTATTGCTTTATTAAGTAACAGAAAATAATGATATAGTATTGTTGACTCAACTTTTCATGAGGGATAAACTTATGCAAAGAATTATGAGCGCAAATTATTTGATACTCTATTACTATATTATGGTATTATGTGAAAAATGTTGGCTATTCCTTTCAGCTAAATTTTTTAAAACTCATTGGTGGAAATACTGCAAATATCATGATAAGAAATATCTTAACAAAAGTAATAACCGATAAGGTAGCCGAACATTTCAGCTGGACAGGTAAAAAAAATAAAAAAGCTTCAAAGATTTAAGACTTTCAAAAATGATTGTACGTAAGTATTTTTCGCATAAAAAATTTGACGTTATTTTTATTTTATTTTATTTAAAAAAATCTGATAAAAAAAACAAGAATATACAGAGTATCTGAAAATTTTGAACGCAGCCAAGTAGAACACATGCTAGTAGAACGCATCAACTTGACCTTAAACAAAAGGTTTCCTACTATTTTCAAACAACCATGTAAACTTTCGAGATATTAATGAAGGTTGTACTCGGAATTTTCAGACACCCTGTAATATTTCCTTTAACTAATATTTCAAATATAATTCAAAAAACATATACATTGAATAATACTTTTTCAATATTACAGAAGCTATTCATTTGTCGCATGAAAACATAACAGATAGTGACATTGTCGAATACACATCAAAGTGGCTTGCCCAAGCAACTGTGAGAATCAAAAGAAAAGGAACAGAAGAAAATTTAGAAAAACGTAAAGATAAAACGTAAAAGAACTTTCTGAACATAATTTACATTCTTTATAACATATTGTTTTTTTTCTTAAAAATGCGCATAATATATATATTATGTGATATTACTAATAAAAAATGATTCTTTTATTTGTGTTACATAGCTATGTAATATTAATTCTTCATGTACTGATAATTATTTAAATTTTTATGATTATTAGTATATATTGCGACGAACTTTTCTCTCTTCTTTAATTTTTCTCCGCCCTCCCGTTGTATACGGACGGACGGGTGTTGCCGTCCCGCTCTCGCTGTCGCGCGCGGATCTCAGACGAAGGCGCGCCGGCGACGGGGAGTGCGGTCGCCGGGCGCGAGAAGCGCGGGATACGGACGGATCGGGTCGTT